ACCCTTTTACAGGTAACTACAAGGTGATTTGGGTTCGGGAGTTCTATGATGGTAACTGTGATACTTCGTTTCATCGAGCATATGCAGCGGTTTATTCCTCTTCTAAAGGCTCTTGGAGATTTATTAACCGTAAAGATCACAGAATTCTCACTACCTCTGGTTATTACTCCTGTAGTTATCCCAATTCAACTGGTTACCTTAATGGAGCTTATTACTGGATGATCAGGTGGGTAGCTGACTGCGGCCTTCTTTCATTTGATTTTGACAATGAGGTGTTCCGTGAGATTTCAGGGCCAGATGTTCCATATAGTAATCGTCGTCAATACAACGTCGTATTGATTGATGGCTCTATTCACTTTTTGATCAAAGATCACATGAGCATAGACTTTGGTTTGTGGGTTATGATCCAACCTGGTATTTGGAACAAACTTGTTACCTTTCAATACTTTTTAACTAGTTGGCCTGTCTTACAGGGATTCTGGGATTCTAACACACCCATTTTCGTAAGTAAGCTTGATGGGCTAACCTCCTATGATATTAACACCCACGAGATAACGCATCTCAAACTTCGATATAAGGAATATATTTGTACTTTTAGTATTTTTTATTATAAGGAGAGCTTAGTAACAATTAAGTGAGGGAGATGTATATATCAACCATTGTCTTCTGAGATGATCTCTTATGACTCATGAGACAAGACATCAGGGTGATATTTGTGGTTGTATGTTTGGTTTATTTTTATAAGGAGAGCTTTGTAACAATTAGGCGAGGAAACAGGGAGCTACACAGACCATTGTAGCTTACCTGACATACTTGCCTCCTCCATAAACAATTGAAATATTGATGCTTTACACAATTGCTGCATCTATTGTTTGAGTGTTGACAACTTGGTTTATCAAAACGGTCTACTTATTATTTTATGAGTTTGATTTATTCATGGCTTCAAGTTTTTTATGCAACCACGAAACAGGAAGGACTGCAGTTAGAGTACTTAAAAATGCGCTCAATGTACTGCTGAACAGTCAAAACAGGGGCTCTTGTCCCATGGAAGACGGTCACAGCACCTCTCTTATTCGATCCCTTCAATGCCTTTTCATTCTTTTGAACTGACCTCTCAACAACTGAAGCTACAATCCATAGAATCTTCGGATTTCCTCTATCTCCTCTATCATATTCATATTTGTATAAGTTTTCGAAATCCCAGATTTTGTACCAAAACCCTCTGCTAGTATGATCATTTTTGAGGTTACACAATTTTTTTTTACACAATGAAATCACAACTAGTGAGCAATATATATATATAAGACTTTTACCAAATGATCTCTTGTGCCATGGTTTATTGCTTGGTTTTCTGCTAGTGTGCATATCTCCGAATTCCAGCATGGAGAAAAATGCAAATATTTTTGTGATCGCTGCTTTAGATCTGTACATATTAGCGGCTTTTCTTTTATAGCATCTCGGTTAGAAAGTAGTGGACATTCGAAGTGGAGAAGCCCCCATTGCTGGCAGGGTTGATTTGCTGCGAAATAAAACGTCTAAAATAAAATTTGTTTAAGAAGCTTGGAAGTAAACATGAAGATCGTATTTTAAGGAAAATTTTATTGAATTGTTGTTGGATTTTGTATTTTTGAAAAGTTGTCTAGCATTTCCCATAAAGCTTGAAGAGGTAATATCATCCAATTTCCTAATTTGCATTGTTCCTTGATGGAACTTCAATTAAACTTCGATATAATCAGCCTTTACTAATTTTATTATTTGATTCTTCAACGTCTCGTCTTGTGGAAGTTTTAGATAATCTTGCATTGACTAATTTCCAAATTTTCTAGGAACATACATGAAATCACTTTTTTTTTTCTTTTGTTTTGGGACTTGTATTTCCTAGTGGTATGTAGTGAAATGCTACCAAGTTCATAAATTATTTTGGACTATATTAAATTCAAGACAATAGTCCAAGTAAGTATTGTGCCTAATAAAACTATTTAATTACACAAGCATTTTCACCATATTTATTATTAATATTTTCTATAGATTGAAGTAACTACATATTGTTTCACTAATTAATATTATCATACTAGGTTTCAAGTTAGCGAGAAAGGAGGGAGTTAAGCGAGATTTGTACTTTATGTATCCTAGATACATACAGATTTACAAATTATACTTAATTTTGAATTCAAGTATGAGTTAAAATCTAGTAAAATTCATAATATTGCAACTTGCAATTAAGTAACTATTTTTGTAAGTTACTAATTTAATTTCAAGTGCGTTGGGCTTAACCATTTAATTGCGGTACATTTAGCCATGGCTCAAATAGCTATTGTAGAGTGGTATTGTTTTCTAGTTTCTCTTAGTTACTTGGTATGTGTTAAGTAGAGGTGCCTCCAACTTTATAAACTAGTGTAATATATATGGCCACCAGCATTATGCAGACTCGTTGAAGATTTAGAAAGGGAAAGGTTGCCTGTTGCGATTCAAGTGCTTCTGCAATAGGTGGTTCACCCCTCTCTTTATAAGATAATACGGCCACCGGCCTCAAGGAGCTAGGTTGTCTATGTTGCAATTCAAGTGCATTTGACATAATATCAAATTCCTAAAGCACTTTGTTTAAAAATACTCTACTTTTTATTCTTCGTTACAACACAAAAAATAGAAAAAAGAAACTAACGCTAAAAAAATACTACGGAGTATAAAATAAGTCATCTTCTCCATTTTGGATTAAAATGTACTATAATGCAATACTTCTCCATTTCTATTTATTTGTGATTTAAGTATTTAATCAATTATATAATTCAATTTATATACATAACATGAAAATATATATTATTATCCAATAATAAAAGCAATCCGCTAATCACTGCCAATTCACTAGTTCTCTCCCATTAAAATTTATTATTATTATTATCTTCCCCTTGTATGTTTTTTATTAAGATCTATTAGGAACATGTATACCGGGTTTAAGAATGATCATCGTTTCGGTGAAGATTTGGCGATGGAGATACTACAAAGGTTACCTGTGAAACCATTGTTGCGATTCAAATGCACGAGCAAGAATTGGTACAGTCTTATTAATAGCCATATGTTTATTGGTAAACAATTGAATTATCATGAACTGAAAATGTTAATTCATAGCCATGATGAAATTCCCAGAGTGGACATAATTTCGAATTCGGAAGGAACCCCTGTAATTGAAAATGCTGATCATCTGTCGAGTTTTCTTGCTAATACATATCCTATGGTAGGCCATGTGAATGGCGTGTTTTTATTTCAAAAAGGAGGTGATGGATCTGGTTGTAGAATGGGATTCTGGAATCCTGCAACAAGGGGGGTAACCACCCTCCCTTACGCCCATTTCCTGTTACAACCATTTTTCAGGGATTCGGGTGGGTTTACCGGGTTTGAATTAGACCCTTTTACAGGTAACTACAAGGTGATTTGGGTTCGCGAGTTCTCTGATGATATCTCTGATACTTCGTTTCATCGAGCATATGCAGCGGTTTATTCCTCTTCTAAAGGCTCTTGGAGATTTATTAAACATAAAGATCACAGAATTCTCACTACCTCTGGTTATTACTCCTGTACTTATCCCGATTCAACTGGTTACCTTAATGGAGCTTATTACTGGATGATCACGTGGATAGATGACTGCGGCCTTCTTTCATTTGATTTTGACAATGAGGTGTTCCGTGAGATTTCAGGGCCAGATGTTCCATATAGTAATCGTCGTCAATACAACGTCATATTGATTGATGGCTCTATTCACTTTTTGATCAAATATGACAATAGCATAGACTTTGGTTTGTGGGTTATGATCCAACCTGGTGTTTGGAACAAACTTGTTACCTTTCAATACTTTTTAACTAGTTGGCCTATCTTACAGGGATTCTGGGATTCTAACACACCCATTTTCGTAAGTGAACTTGATGGGCTAACCTCCTATGATATTAACACCCACGAGATAACGCATCTCAAACTTCAATATAAGGAATATATTTGTACTTTTAGTATTTTTTCTTACAAGGAGAGCTTAGTAACAATTAAGTGAGGGAGATGTATATATCAACCATTGTCTTCTGAGATGATCTCTTATGACTCATGAGACAAGACATCAGGGCGATATTTGTGGTTGTATGTATGGTTTATTTTTATAAGGAGAGCTTAGTAACAATTAGGCGAGGAAACAGGGAGCTACACAGACCATTGTAGCTTACCTGACATACTTGCCTCCTCCATAAACAATTGATGATTTACACAATTGCTGCATCTATTGTTTGAGTGTTGACAACTTGGTTTATCAAAACGGTCTACTTATTATTTTATGAGTTTGATTTATTCATGGCTTCAAGATTTTTTGTTCCAAATGGGATTGCGTACGTTAATATGCCAATACAAGACACCATTGAATTGACAATTAACATCGAGAAGAGTATATATAGTTTAGTCTTTGCTAGGTCTCTTAAGGCTGTGCATTGAATTCTTAAACCTAGAATTTGATGTCTTTATTTAACAAACCTTCTCCCCATGAGAAAATTTGAATAGGTTGACCAATCTGTAATTTCACATTGGCTTCTGGGATTCTAGCACTGTCATTTTCTTTACTAGAAGTTCTCGGGTGGTCTCCTCTGATGTTAAGGTTGGGGAGATGAGGCATTTTAGATTTCAATATCAGAGCCAGAGAAGTAGGTGTAGAATTTATTATTGCAAGGAGAGCTTAGTAACAATTGGACGAGTAAATGAGGATCTGGACCAACATATTTGACTCCTCTGTGAGCATCTGAAATAATTTAATGTTTGCAGCCAAGATATTGCTTATACAATGCCAAATTCCTTAAGACGCTTCGTCTTATAACAATAGTTGTTGTTTGAGTGTTAGCAATTTTGCCGACTTGCTTTATATATAGGAGATGAAACATAGAGAAAAGTTGCAGTTCAGGCATAAACCATCAGTTATAATATTCAACAGGTACACAATTCAGAAGATTTATCTCAGCCTCTTCATGCCTGTCCATTGGATTTGGATCCCTACACCCTAGAAAGCTCTACAAGTGTATCCTCCAACTGTAGGTGAACAATTTGATATGTTCTTGTTTACCAAACCCTTTCCCCATGCAAAAATTCGGAGAGGTCGATCAATCTGTAATTTCTCAGTGGTGTCTTTCTCTAGCTGCAAGCAGTACTTATCAAAGTTCTCAACACTTACGTGGAGTCGGAAATCAAGGGCTTCCAAGAATTTCATCTCCAGCTTGTTCAGTTCTGTTGTGGTTATTCCTCCTACTTTTGCATAATAAGCATTGTTGTAGCAGCTGTAAAAAGTGCGAAAATCTTAATTGTATAGAAAAGACACAAAAACTTAGATTAGCAATGATGGTTAGAAAGAATACTTACTCATCATCTACAAACTTGACAGCCAACATGGTGCTAGTGATGAGAAGCCGGTGAACATTAAGAGAGGTGAGTAAACAATGAGTCAGACTGAGGAATCTCTCCAAATATATATATGCAACCACGAAACAGGAAGGACTGCAGTTGGAGTACTTAAAAATGCGCTCAATGTACTGCTGAACAGTCAAAACAGGGGCTCTTGTCCCATGGAAGACAGTCACAACACCTCTCTTATTCGATCCCTTCAATGCCTTCTCATTCTTTTGAACTGACCTCTCAACAACTGATGCTACAATCCATAGAATCTTCGGATTTCCTTTATCTCCTCTATCATATTCACTCAACCCCATATTTGCATAAGTTTTCGAATTCACAGATTTTGTACCAAAACCCTCTGCTCCCATGATCATTTTTGAGGTTAGACAAATTTTTTTACACAATGAAATCACAACTAGTGAGCATAATATATATATATATATATATATATATATATATATATGACTTGTTGATATTAGGTGGGAATAAAGGATTGTTATCAGAATTATGTTTTCCTTTTTGTTTGGTTTTCCTTTTTGCCTTAGAAATTTATTCCTTTTAGCATCTTGGCGTTGCTTCTACGTTGGTCAATATTTCTAAAGAATATCAACCAGGGGGGCAAAATGATACAGCAGATGCACTATCAACATAAAAAGGTAAGTACTATAGTTAACTTTTCCAATTACTTTAACAAATTAAAGTTAACAATTCAAAAAAATAAAATGATGAGTAGTAAATAGGTATATCATCTTTTACAAAAATAAAAAAAATAAAAAATCAACAAAAGTCAAAAAGAATTCATCCACAAGGAAAATGACTAGGGTTTAAGGAAAGTAAATTGTACGCAAATCTTACTTTTGTCATGAAAAATGAGGAGGAAAATGTATTAGGAGAGAAAAATATCATGTTTGATTGAGATTCTCTGCACTCGAAACCTAATTAATCAACAATGGTTCATTTTTACTTAGTACCTGAATTATCAAGAAAATCAATGCGATTCTATTTTATTTTTTATTTTTATTCTTTTAGGTAATACATAATGCCAAAAGATATGTGAACAGAAAATTTAATTACGATATAATGTGTACATCAATGAATGACGAAAAGCAAGTAGACTATATAACCAAAAAAAAAACAAACCAAAATAGTACAAATTAGAGATAATATTCTTTGTTTTTGTTCAAGAGGATAATATTCTAACTTATCTCAAGAATCAACACTAAATTCTACATCACTACCTGAGTATATATCCTAATGTTTTATTCTATAATATTTCTGATACGAGATCCAAAATAAAAATGATGGCACAGGCACCAAGGAAAATCCCCTAACAAATTATCTCATGCTTTAATTAAGTTTCAAATTTTTTGCATTATATTCCAATACCATCCAAATGATACTTTTTACAATATATACTAGAGTACTTTTTATGCATTATTTACTTTTCTTTAACTTTATGATATGCTTTGTTTTCATTTGTCTTGTATGTTTCCACCTTTTGATCCAAAAAAGTCCATGAAGGCAGGCCACCAGCTTGGCAAGAAAAGAAATTTACACAAGTCATGATTGGATAATATTAGGTCTTTGTTTAAAATTACTATTCAAAAGTAGATTTAGCAACAAAAAAGATTTGAGTTTCTTTTTGCAAATACTGTTTGTTTGAGCTGTTTTTGTAAGAATTTCAAACTCACCTTTTCAATTTTGTTTAAAACTTCAAAAACTGTTAATTTAGGTGTCATATTTTTATAGTCTGTTTTTTTTTCCTCTTTTCATAATTTCACTTTACACTTCAAATTTAATCTTTAATAAGATACTTATAGCTATACACATATCTATGACTCGTACAAACCACAAGCTTTAAAAGTTATTTTTACTTTCTTTAACTTCATGTTCAGTCAAACGTCACCACATGAATTGGGACAATAGGAAGTTTCATTTTTTTTTTTTTCAAAACAATAACAGCTCAAACAAATTAAGCAGTCTCTGGCAGTGAGGACTCTATGATTTTCACATAATGAAGTATATATGTGAAGAGGTCGAAGGAGATTCAACAAATAGTATATATTATATCAATTTATCTATCTATACAGTGTGATTTTTCAGCGAGGAGATATCAATTGTCACCTCTTGAGAAGGGTGCTCTGCCATTGTTTCTTGCTAATTTTCTGAGATAATTGAATACATGGACATTTTCTTTGAGCCTATACAAATACATTGCTTAGCTTTTCTAGTAGAACAAATGTAAAATAACATGATGTAGAAACATTTCTACATCATGTTATAAAGAGTAGAAAAAGTTATATCAATTCCTTTACCCCATCAGCTAGAGCAGAAGTGATAGTGATACTCTGTAGCTAGGATCTTCTTAGCACTAAGTTAAAGAATAAAATTGAAGAAAAGAATGTGACAGAAGTACACAAAACTATCTGATTTATACAGATTTAATTTCCCACTAGAGTCCTTGAGAAAAAGGAACATTTGTGTAAGGCAACCAAGTATCTCCCATAGTGAAATTATAGACAGTAAAGTTCATTGCTTGTGAAGCATTCATTAAGCTATAACCAGGCCATTGTACTCTCATTGTAGTATTAGCCCCTGGCCCATAATTCTCAAACTCCCCATAATAAAGGGTGTCTAGTCCATACGTTCCGTTCCAATCTAACCATCCAACAGGCGTGATCACGTCTCCTATGTAGGACTGCATGATAACAGTCCTTGAGTAATTGTGCCAAGGCCGACCAAGAAAACTCAACGTGAGATTCGGATCCTGTGCCAAATCAGGGGCAGCTTGAATTGTGCAGTTCTGGATAGAAATGCCAGTGTTCTGGTTGGGATCACTCCGGCCTTGTGCTGTGAAGATGTTCTTTTGGTCTGGCATTGGCTTCCTGGCAAAAAGATTGCAATTTTGGAAAATTGCAGCTGCATTGCCAAATATGAAGTCAACAGTACCATAAATATCACAGTCTCTGTAGAATTGTCTTAAAGAGTGCACGTATAACGTGTCTTGATAGCCCTCAAAACGACATCTGTAGAACGTGGAAAGGTCTGCATTGTTCCTTAGAGCTACAGCTTGGTGCTTCCAAGGACCAGCTACGTTCTTGAATGTTATGTTCACGGCTACAAACCGCTCCCCTGAAACAGCTGCACATGAAAAAAAGATTTAGATACCTTTTGCTTAAATGTAGTAGTAACACTTGAATATAGATGTAGAATATGTTGCGACTATTTTTCACTTAAAAAGCGGCTATTTGTGAATTTTATTTGAAAATGACCGGGAGGCATAGTTTACTTACCAAAGGTTGCTGAATTGTAGGTTGTCCAGCCATCTATGACACTTCGATTTCCAGCAATCACAGTGCGATCAACTCCATCTCCAATCAACATAATGTTCTTCTTGTTCTTGGCCACGACAACGTACTCCTCGTAGTATCCTTCCTTTGCGTAGATGAGAAAATAGCCATCATCAATCATTGAGTTATTAGGTGCAAATGCAATGGCTTCTCCTATCGATGTAAAGTTGCATCCACCGTAAGGGCTAACTGTTACAGTTTCCTTAATGTGTACTCCATTTTCTACTAACTCGTCAAGAATCCTTCTATCCCTTTGATGATGAGACATCTCCAGTGCTTGTTTAACCTGTTTGCTAGCGTACGTAAGTTTTCTTTAAACAGATAAATGCTTAATATGAAAAATCATAAAGGTAGATGAAACTAGCTATATGTAATTTGCAACAATTTATAGTACCATAATTTACCTTAAAAATCTTTTTGAGTCGGTACTTTGATCTCTTATGTCATGACTTTGTATTACTAGCATTAATTGTGATAGGGCTGATTTAATCATTTTTGTTTAATTTTTCTTACAGCAATTGACATGCAATATATATATGTATTTATTTATTTTTGAAAAAGAAATGCACATAGAAGAGATTGGGTAAGCCACAAGAATAAGTACTCTTTTCCTTTGGACCTTGACACCCAAATAAACTAGTCATGTGGGAAACACAATAAGCATAATACTTGATCTAATAAAATTCCAAAATTTGAGTATTTGTTTTGATGATAACAATAGGTGGCACACTAAAATCTAATAATCACTCACCTCTTTTCTTGCATCCTCTGGCCTTTCATTAGTGAAGGGACTTAGATCCTTGGTTTCAATCTTTTATTTTTCTTTTAATTGTATAAAAATTAAATCTTATAGGATTTACATATTAATTATATTTTGAACAAGAAAAAAATATTTTTAATATAATTGTTTTTTTGGTAGAGCATGTGGGAAGGAAGATGATTATGTCAGAGTTCAGAGTTGCTTGCCTTTACCAATTGTTTTCCCCACATGCAGATTTATAAGTACCAAATTCTGAAAAAAAAATAAAAAGAAAAAAAAGAAGGAAGATGTACTGATGTAGGGACTATACTGGGAGAGATGTTTATTTGTTTGGGATGCAATCGAATGAAGCTGATTGTTCTAATATAAGGGAAATACATAAGCCAGTCACTATTTTTTTAAAAACGTTATTTTTAACCTATTTTCCTCATATTTAAATTTCATTTATTTTTACAATCCTAATTGTTCTAATATGGTACATGTAATTTTCATTTTTAACTAGGGTATCACGTGGTTATCTCAGGCCAATCAATTTAAAAAGAGAAAGATACAAAATCTACCAGCTCTCATTTCCATCTAGTTGTTAGTAGAAAACAAAAGAGAGTGATCACTTACACTATGCAATATTTGCTCTACCAAACAATTTCTTTTACTATATAGAGAAATTACTAGGGGTATGTAGCATCTAAATTACTTGTAATTAGTCTATAAATTCTCTGTTCATATCATATAATTTTTTTAAAAATTGGTTAGTCAAATAAAAATTATATATTTATAAATATTTTTTTGAAAAATACTTGATTTAACAAGAGATTTTAAATTTTTTAGCAAACAAACTACTTAGTACTACTAGTTGTGAGTAGAAGACAAAAGAGAGTCAGGTCATGTACAGTATTGTTCTCCCCTAACAAGATCTACCAAGAAACATATTCGATTACTAAATATAGTTTTTAATGTAAGGTAAATATTTTGGGTAATTAAGCAACTTTAATTTATGAGCACCAGTTCTTGAAATGGGAGAAGTAGAGGCAGCAGTACTCTTCTTAATAACGGTGCACTTTTAATTCACACAGCGGACGTAAAGATCTATGTATGTATACTATAGTAGCTTCAATAATAGAGAGCGGTGGAACAATCAATGCAAAGGGCAGTCAACTTGCAGCAGTAAATGCAGAAAAATTCTTTTTCATTTGGATATACTCATATGGGATGAAATTAATTATATACACCACAGGAGTAAATATAATTTTGAATTTCATTTTTTCACGTAAGATATTTTGAT